CTCCAGCCGCCCCTCTCAGGGGCATAGTTCACTTCGGAAAGTGCGTATTAGAGTTTAGCTTAGTCCCAGGTTTGGCCTGGGCGGCTAAGTGGCCAGCTGATATGAAATGATTGTTCTCTTCTTTCTAGCGTTGCTTTGGAGACTCATATAATGCAAAAAAAAAAAAAAAAAAAAAAAAATCCTTCTTTTTAAACCTTTTCATGTTTTTTACTATGCATTCAGATTTCTGTTAAATTAGTATTTAATGATATAAAGGCACATTTACTGCAGTGAGATTTGGCTATTATTTAGTTTAACAGGGGGCATTTTTAAAGCAATCAATATTAGCTGGTCTGTGCAGTATATTGTTCTAAGGCGCGATTTTTTGTATTCAAGTTGCTCCAGTGACATCTGTGAGCGGTGAAAAACAGTTGGATGTAGTGTTAAAAAAAAATAAATTAGTTCATTGCATTTGAACCTAAATGTTGCCATTTTATATTTACTGGTGTGCTTAGTTTTTGACAGTGTTTTTATACAAACACCCACATAAATGCCCCTGAAAGAAAAGTACTGCACTTAATAGAGAATCATGGTTGGTAATTATAATGGCTCTAATCCAAAGCCCATTGAGGTAAGTGGGAACTGCTCATATACTTTAAGTTAAATACATGTATAAGTGTTGATACAACTGGGTCTTTGTTTTCCTTGATAGGCAGATGTAAGCAAAGGTCGTCTTCCAAAATTTCCCCCTGCCTTGTAAAATTCTGAAGACAATTCTCGGGTGTAAATCAGGGCCAGTTCAAATGATATCAATACAGTTCTCTTGGCTGAAGAGCTCATTTCGGCAATAGCGCTGGGTTCATTGCTTATAGGCAGTAAAACGTGGCACAATAACACCACCGGTTTGATAATGCTCTGAATTTATACAGACTTCCATCCCAAGGGCCTTTAAGCATAACCTAAGGAGAATTTACGGGAAGGAATTCACTTGCAAATCCTCATGTCATTTGTTTTGCATTTGGCAGCTCTTTGTTACCATAACATAAATAATTGTGGATGAATGTCATTACTTTGATTAAGTGCTACAAGTCCATACATTGGCTAGCCATTATTGTGGTGAATTGCTATAATGGCTTCAGACTTGACATTCACCGCCACATTGTAAGGTATGCATCTCACTGACGTACTATCATCGTTATCGTGGATAAAGTGCAAGAAGATACTTGTCTTCATTAAATTTTCTATTAGACCATTGATAATTAATACATATCTCATGTTTCATCTCGAGTCGTTTTTCTGGGGAGTGTTGCTGTTAAGCGACTCAGGGCTAGAGCTTTTTGGCTTGAAATCCCTGCCTTGTGTGCATGATCTAATTTATTGACAACGCTCTGCAAACTCACAGGCTTAAGGAGAGCTCAATTTTGGATAAATCTTCAAGAAAAACAATTAAGGATTTAAACATTTTATTATTTTTCTGGGCTCACAAACCCTTTTCTCTCAGCTCCCACGCTTGCATCATTTTGTGTCATGCTCTGGAGGGCTCGGTGGAGTTCTCACATCTCTCTGGCTGGCTTTTCACCCAGAGGTTAATGTGCAAACATTGGTGAACTCATCAGGAGCTCTTCCAAGGGATCCTAGAGGGGCTTGTATACTATCACTTGGACTGCTGGTGAACAGTTTGTTGCAGCTCCTACCTAAAGTGCAAAATAACAAACTTTAGCTAATTTGAAACATGAACTGCAGTTGGCACTGGAACTCTAACCAATGTTCTCGCTTTCTCAGTAGAAAGACAAAGGGCTGAACAGGCTGCTGAGGCTGAACTCCCTTTCCCTGTCTGGAGATGGTTGCAGGTTAGCACCAACAGGCACTGGCAGGGTGTTGCAGGAAGCTGAAGTTCATTGCCCTGGTGCCGGGTGTCTTTGGGAAGAAGATTTTCAGCCAGCAAAGGTTGTGCTGTGACTTTTGCAAGCTTCAAATTAACTTTAAAAACAAAACCCAGACAGAAAAAAAAAAAAACCCAGACTTTTAAAAAAAAAAAAAATAAAAATGATCTCTTAACTAAGCAGCCTTCAGTGTTTGGACTAGAGCTTGTCTCGCTCCGATCTGTTTGCCCCCAGGCTCTGCCTTTGAAGGGCTGAGTGGGCAAAGCAAAGAGGAGAGAGTTTACCTGCACACAGACTGATGTGGGGCTTGGACCCTGTTTGGAGACACTGCCTTGTGCCCACGCGGACCCCGGCTCTGCCCCTTGTTGCTCCTTGTCCCCCTTGGACCCCTCTGCCTCCTCTGAGAGGCTGGTGGAAGAAGCTGTGCTCATCGGTACTCACTCTGTGGTACAGGAGGGGCTCAAGACTAAGCAGCCCAAGGGAGTATGTCACTTGGTGCCAAGTCCCCGGGGTGACAGGCAAACACCCTCGCGGCACTTCGGTTTGCATGGCATCCTCACTCAAAGGCAGGGCTGACCATGCAGCAGTGCTTCTGTCTGATGGGATCAAGCTTCACATTTGGGTTGAGATCTGTGCCTCGCTGCATGGCAGCTGCTCCCCGGGTACAGGGTCGCAGCCTGCCTTGTGCAGAGGGGAAGGTTCGTTGCTACAGTCGTGGGTCTCTTCTGGCAACACAGCCCTAAAGCAAGTGGAAGCGGCGATTTCCGCTTGTAAGGGAAAATCAAAGCTCGAGAGGGATGCAAGAAAAGCCTTTTTCCCTTCATTAGCACAGAAGACCTGGTCGCGGCGGGGGGGAAGAAACTTTTGGGAAAAAAGCGCCTTTCTGGAGGATGCGGGTGAAGGTGCGAAACGGCAGCATCTGTATTTGGTGAGGTGGTGCGGAGCGGTGCGGAGCGGTGCGGGCGGCGGGCGAGGCGCCGTTCCCGGCGGTACCTCTAGGAGGAAACCTCAACCTGTGTTGTGCCTGCGGGGGCGCGGGGTCCCCCCCCCCCTCTTTTCAT